TAAATAATAAATACTATGGGCCATGTGTATTGAGTACTCTGCAGTATGTACTGGGCATCTCTGTTTACATTTCTCTTTGGTTTTATGGCACAGTACAACACTTTTCTCCACCAACAGCCATTCATACATAGGTGTTCAACCTTTTCTTTGGGGAGGTACCGGAAATCGAACTCAGGAACTTGTGCTTGCCAGCCAGGCACTTGTACTGCTAAGCTATATCCCTGGCCCTTTTGTTTGTTCTTTTTTAAGAAGAAAAGGTCTTGCTATGTTATTCAGGCTGGCCTACAAATCACTATTTAATCCAGATTGTCCTTGAACTTGCAGCAATTCTCCTGCCTCAGCCTCTCAAGTGCTAGAATCAGGGGCAGGTACCACCATGCTCAGTTTGTGCTTGGCCTCTTTTTTTTTTTTTTTCCCCAGTGCTGGTGGTGGAGCCCAGGGCCTCATGCATGGAAGGCAAGTTCTCTGTCACTGACTAACAACCAGCAGCCCTTGAACTTATGGCAATCCTGCCTCGGCCTCCTGAGTGCTGGGATTACAGGTGTGGGCCACCATACCTGGCTTCAAATCTTCATTTTTAAAGCCAGGAGGAGTTGGCCCGGGCCCTGACCCTTCATCTCTCTCATCTGGACAGAGGAGTTTTTGGATGCCCTAGTCTGAGCCAGCCTCCATGCCAGACACAGGACTGCCCTTCTTGGAGCGTTTCCTGGGAAGGCCTTTCAGGTGCCCGGTAGAGGACGCTTGGCAGGGTAAACAGTTACCTGAGTGAAGTGTTCGCAGTAACCAGCTCTCCCTGAGGCATATGAGTCTCTCAGAGCCCTTAGCCTTCCTTTTCCATGATTGTTCCTGATCCCAGGATCCAAGTCTCGGGCTGGTTATGCAGCTCAGTGACAGAATGCCTGCCTAGCACCACAAAACAAACAGACAACAAAAATGTCCCTTCTCCTGCTGGCCAGGGAGCCAGAGGACCACAGTTCTGTGTGAGTACGAGGGACCACAGCAAGGGGGGGTCATACTCGGTCCTTTCAGGGTCTCAGCAAATCTCCCAGCCCCTGTACCAGCTCTGTTTTACAGGAATGAATCTTAAGCCCAGAGAGGTTAAGTCACTTGCCTGGAGTCAAACAGCGAGTCAATGGTACTAGGTCGTGGGTACCGAGGGATGAGCGAGACACACACAGCTGCTGTCCTGACACAGCCACAACGCAGAGCTGTCAGCTGACCTCTCCCACGAGTTACCCCGGCAAGTACACACCTGCACACACCCACGACTGCGCTGTTGGCTGCAGCTGGGAGGCCTCCCTCTCCACCATGCGCTGCCCGAGGCTGGGCCTGTCCTTCCAGCCTCTGGGAGTGAAGGAGGAATCTACTTCCTCTCCGTAGCCCCCGAGTGTCCTGACCCTCACGCACAGACTGCTGAGGTCATAGCGCTTCCCAGTCTTCCCATTCTGTCCTCAGCAGGGCCCGGCTCCAGAGGCTCAGCTGCTTTTCCGGGATCAGGGCTCCGCTCCACGCCGGGGAGGCCGTGCCCTCCTTGGTCCCTGCTGGTTGCCAGCCCTTGGGGCACCTGTGTGGGTGTCAGGAAGGGACGCAGCCAGCACAGGCAGGGTCACAGGGTGCAGGGAAGAGGTCAGCATCCATGGGAGCCTGGGCTGGGGCCCCCAGATTGCGGTGCACCCCCCCCATCCCTTTCAGTGCCTTACCTGACTTCATCTTGGGGTTCTTCTTTGGCCCCAGGACACCTCCTGTGGGCACACTCTGAACTGCATCTGGGGGAGCCTCTCTGCTTGTGGCTTGGAGATGCTGGACTCCCTCAGTTTACCTCCTCGGAGGGTACACGGGTGCTGGGATTAGGTGCCATGCAGTGGGCAGAGCTCCCAGCTGGGTCCAAGCCCTGACCTACCCCTACCGTGCTGGCACAAAGGGGGAGGCCAGTCTCTGGCCCAGTGTCTTCCCCTGTGCGCTGTCTAGCCTAGCGGTGGCAAAGCTATGGCACGTATGCCACAGCAGGCTATCTGCATCGCTGAAAGCTCTAAAAGGTTCGCCATCACTGGTCTAGCTATGAGGCGTGGGAGGAACAGAGGTGAAGGCGTGCTCTGAGGGCAGTCACATGCTGTCCAGGGAGTATGACGTCCCGAGCTGGACCACAGCCACCCGTGGGAGTCAACCAGGTACATCCCCCCCGGGCTGAGCTCAACCTGCTGGTGCTTATTTTGACATCAGCCTTCTGCCTCTGCCTGTCCTGGTCCTGTCATGCCCTGTGCCTGCCTTTATAAGAGAGGGCGCTCAGCTAGACATCTGTTCTCTCCAAGAAGACGCTGGAGTGGGCAATGCATAACCCAGGGCTGCCCTGCAGGGATACCATGACTCCTGCTCAGGGGGCATTTCTGGATGAAGCTCGAAGATGCTTTTTATTTTTTCCTCTAGTACTGAGGCTTGAACTCAGGACTTTTGCACTGAGCTACATCTCCAAACTTTTTTTTATCTATTTTAAAAACGTTTTGAGATAGGATCTTGCTAATTTGCCCAGGTGTTACAGTTTGTCTGTGTGTCCCTCCCCAAAGCCTCATGCGGCCATGGGGCAGGCTTTTAGAGTTTGATTGATTAGGGGTATGAGAGCTACACCCGCCCTGGGGTGGATAGTTTGCATATGTAAGGGAGAGGAAAAGGGTGCTTGAGGCCATTCCACCCTGATGTGTGCTTGTTGCTTTGCTGTATTCTGCCAACATGAGCTGTAGCTCTCTGCCATGTGCCACTCTGCCTTATAATCTGCCAAGTATGGACTGAAACCTCTACAAACTCTAAGTGAAATAAACCTTTCCTTCCTTAATTTTGGGCGTCAGGTATTTTGTCCCAGCAGGGAGAAAAAAGTAACCAAGACACCAGGCTGGGTTTAAACTTTTGATCTTCCTACCTCAGCCTCCCAGGGTGTGGAATCACAAGTATGTGCTACCATGCCCAGTTGAGATTGCTTTTAAAAAGTGCCTCAAATGACAACCAATAAGTGACCATCTTCCTTCCCTGGTGGGATATAACAGGTCCCCCCATTTCTTAGCAGGTGGAGCTGGGACGTAGATATGGTCAGCTGCCCAAGGTCTCAAAGTGATATCTGCCATCCTCCCTTGTCCTGCCTCTACAACATCCTGGGACGCCCCTCTCCCATCTCCTGTGACCCACCAGGATGCCCCGGGCAGGCATGTTCCTTGGGAGTCTGGAGCAATGCTCAGGTCAGGTCAGGCTGACCTGTGCTCAGCTGTGCAGGATGAGGAGGCCCAGGACGCAGCTGCAACAGCTGTGGTATAGACAGCCCTCTCCTACAAGGGGCGGGGGGGGGGGAGCGGGTGCTGAGTGCCACCAGCACCCTTGGGCAGGATAGTGGGGTGTGCTCAGGGTACAATGGTCCCACTGTTTGGGTGGCTTTCAGGAGAAATAATGGGTGAAGGATGCAGAATGGGGCTTGGAAGAAATAACCAGGAAGCTTTGGGAGAGAGGGAGACAGAAGCAGGAGATAGAGACAGAGACAGAGACAGAGACAGAGATGAGAGAGAAAGAGACCACTCTGGCTTGATCCATGGGCTCAAGCCTGACAAAGGCCAAAGGCCCCCAGAAGGAGATTACAACGGTTCCAAGGCTCGAGAGCTGCTACTCAGTGTCCAGAAGGGACTCGGATCTGATTGGAAGACGCAGCAAGCGAGGCAGCAAGGCCAAGGGATGGGACGCTGCCCAAGATCATTCTGACCTGGAAAAGGTGTTACGACTGGCTGATGGGGTTGGTGGGAGAATGAAGTGAATCAACATGGATAAGACCCTTGGCCAACTGTGTGGGTGCGTAATAGGTGCCCGGTAAATAATGATGAAGAGAAGAGTATGTTTAGGGGTTGATTTCTCCAAGGCCCAGTGTTCATGACTTCAAGTATCCTCCAAAGGGTCCTCTAGGACCTGTACAACCCAGAGTGCTTTGGGGACTGGGGACACCAGCCTCCTTCTGTTGTCTGTAGGGAGTGGCTGAAGCTGGAAATCAATCACACGTGTGGGGGAGAACAATGAGAGCTTCTCCAGCCGTGTAAACAAGCTGTACCAGCTTACAAACAGGTTGCTAGGCAGAGAGGTTGAAATTGACACCAACCTCCTGAGTATATAAATAAAAGCTCTACAGATCTTGGGCAGTTCTTTTCCTCCCATCTGGAAAGAGAGGGTTCCACCTGACCCCAGCTTTCATCTCTTATCTTTATTTCTGCATCTTCTTGCCATTTTTCCCTGGGCACATCAAGAGCTGCGTTGGTCCACAGCAGTTATCCTTCCCTCCTACATCCTCTGTCCTCTCCCCTCTCCAGCCACCAGTGCTCACATGCTTGGTTTCTGACGAGGCAGAGGTGGTGTCTTCATCACCCTGCATCCTCAGTGCCCAGTGCAAGGTCTAGGGACACAGGCTGGGCAGGGAAGGGAAGGAGGGACCCGCAGCCTCCTGAACTCTCTCAGCAGGACAGGGGTTGCTGCCTACCACACAGGCAAGGCCAGAACTTCACTCGTGTCTGCTGTGTCCCCCTGTCTGAGCCCAGCTGTCCCTGCAGGTAGCCACTGCCTCCAGAGGCTTGTAGAGCTGGACTGAAAGAGAAGGCGGCAGCCACTGCTGGGCAGGCCAGGATGGAGACAGGGGCAACGGGAGCCAGGCTTTCTCTGTGGGCCTAGCCTAGAGTCCCCAGGTAGGGCTGTCCCCATACAATGACTCACGCACCAGCAAAGCATTTTGTTGTTCGTTTTTGTCTTTTCTTTGGAGTGGGGGGGCAATACATTTTTGAGTCCGCAGAATCTCAGTGTCCACTTTAGTAACACCATCAGCTGCCTTCTTCCTGTTTACTACTCATTAAGTACAGATTTACATCTTTAAGATCTTGAAAACGATATGAGTTAGCCACATCATTTTAAAAGTTCATTGGACTAAATATATATATATATATAGTCCATATATGTATATTTGGACTAAATATGTATATATATGGGGCGGGGAGAGAGAGAGAGAGAGTTGTAAGCCAAGCTTGATGGGAGATTCTAGTCAGAGCTCAGAGCAGAATGCTAATAGAAATGCGGACAGTAACGGCCAGGCTCAGGTTTAAGTTGGGAACAACGACCCCACTGGCATTTGGACTTGAGGCCGCTTAGGTTACACTCTGGCAGAAAAATTTGTCTACATTTTTTTCATGTCCTGAGACTTTGCAGGAGACTGAGATTAAAGGTGGTGGGCTAATTAACCCTTTGAAGGAAATTTCGAGGCAGGCCGACGCTCAGGCTGTGGCACTGGTACTGGTGGTGGCTTTTTAGTCAGATCTCAGTGAGAAACAGGAGGAAAAAGCAGATGTGAAAATTTTGCAGTTTCATCTGAAAAGGAGCAGCTGCGAAGTTGGGGCCTTGAAAAGTATGTTTGCTAAAAAGGTTGGCATTAAAAAGAAGCCAAGCACTTTGTGTCAAGACAATAGAAAAGATGTCTTGAGGGAATTTCAGGAATCAGCAAGATCCAAGCCTTCCTCAAGGGCTCAAGGGTGCAAACTTCTGGAGTTTTCATTCTAGAAGAGAGGATCTAGGACCCCTGCTTAAGAAGAGACACCCAGAAAATGGGTTCCTCAGGATTGGTGTCACAGGGCTCAGCTATCTAGGCACTCAGAGACCTCTGTAGCCATGGCCCAAGGGGGCCCAACTACCACTCGAACTGGCAGCAGACTTTGGCATCATCTGCATGGTGCTGGTTCTTCAGGCATGCAGAGTGCAGGAGTTGTGGAATCAGGGAGGCTTTCATCCAGATTTCAAAGGAAGGCCTAGGAGATCAGTGCATGAAGTTGTGAGAGTGAAGCCAAAAGTGTAATGGAGATCCCAGGAAACTGGGGATGCTGGGAATGTAGAACAGCTGCTGAGGAAAGCCACAGGCAGTGAGCGAAGTTACTTACAAAGAGGCCATGAGGGCTGCAACCAGCAATGCCACTAGGGTAGGCCATCCATGCCCTTTGGAGCTTACATACTGCCCCAGCTGCAGGACATGGAACTAAAGGATCTAATGTTTGCCCTGGTGGGTTTTAATCATGCATTGGCCTCATACCTTCCTATTCCCCTATTTCTTTATTTTGAATGAGATTGTTTGCCTTGTGTCATTGTATGTTGGCAGTGTTTTATTTTCATTTTGATTTTTAGAGGTGCTCACAGCTGAGAGTCTGCCTTCAGTCTCAGAGGAGATGCTGGACTTGGACTTTTCAGCAGTGCTGGAACTCTCAAAATTCAGGTGACTCTTAGAGAGGGAATAAATGCATAAGAGATGGACATGATCCATTTGGGGGATGGGGGCAGAATATTACACTTTAGATCTAACATGTCCCCCCACATGATCCTGTGTGTGGAAGGTGATTGGATCCTGGGGCATTACAGGGGACTACAGCTGACTTTCTGTTAAGGGGTGGGGGGTAGTTGGAAGACACAGGTCACTGGGGACATCTCCCTCTCCATCTCCTCTCCACCCTCTCTGTTGCCTGACTACAATGATATGAGCAGGCCTCCTCTTCCAGACCCCTCGGAGCCAGCTGCCTATGGCCTAAATCCCCTAGAAACTGTGACCCAAAATAAATCTCTCTTCCTTTAAATCACGGGTATCAGGTATTTTGTCCTAATGATCAGAAAGTGACTAAGGACAGATCCCGCATAACCTAATCGCCTCATTGAGGGTCCTGTCCCTCCATACGGCCACGATGGCAATTTGATTTCAACATGTTTTGGAGGGGACAAGGTTTCAAGCCAAAGTAGATGTCAGATGTGCCTTTTCTGTAATATGAGAGCTTGGTGGGGTAGAGGTGAGGGTCCCAGGGGGATAACACCTGGGCAGGAACAACAACAGCAGGACAGAGACCCCTTTGTGTCTCAGCCGTGCGGACACGGATCTGCCAACTCAGCAGCTCTCACTTCTTCCTCCCACCCCTGTGCCCTGCGTCCTTGATCCTCCCAGCACCACCCACACTGCAGACAGAGCTCGCAATGTCGAAGACACTCACCTGCCGCCTCATCCCAGCTCCCAAACTCCTGAGCACAAACTCCTGAGCTTTGCAGCCAAACACCACCTTCTCGGTGGCAGCTGATAGCCTTGAGCGAGTTCCTGAACCTCTCCGAGCCTCCTATCCATCCCTCGGATGAGAAAGGCACGCTGGTGGGGCTGAATTGTCCCGAGTCACAGAGCCACTGCTTTCAAAATGCCAGCCACAGGGTAAGGCACATGGTGGGTGTTCATATAGCATTAACTCACGCTTTTCCAGAAATATTTGGCTATACATTCACTCTATAGAAGAGAGAAGAGAGAGACAGGAGAGAGAGAGAAGGGGCTCCTAGAAAAGGGGTTAGAAGGGCAGCATGTCATTTAATAACCCCAGATGGCTTAAAGCCAGCTCTGGGCATCAACCCCAAGGCCAGCCAGAGCAAAACAGTCCCTTTGCAGAGTCTCCCTGCCCCCAGTCCCTTCCTGCCCCACCTAGTCTTGTCCCCCTGCCCTCGAAGGCAGCTTACTAGCCAGCTGCTCCTGTGGCCTCTCATCCGGGCCTCCCCAGCCACGTGGGTGAAGACTCTGCTAGTGATGGTTGGGGTCGCCTTGGCAACAGACATCTATCTGGTGGTGATGGGAAGGCAGCTGGAGTCCGTCTTGGCCTGGACTTGGCACCAGAGCACTGGCTTCCTGGGGGTACCGGTGTTGGTCATGTGAAGGCCCCAGGATAATTAAAGGTGACGTCTGTTAACTTCTCTCTGATGCACTGGTCTTCACGAGATCTGCATCTTGCTGCCTGCGGAGCCCTGAAAATGTTGGAAGGGGCAGGTCAAGCATTTCCCACTCGTAACCAGCTGGGGAAGGGATCTACATGTGTCTGCATCTCTGTCTTCCTGCATGCATTGAGCCTGTCACTTGTCTGAAGTACTGTTCCCAGCCAGTGTGTGTGTGTGTGTGTGTGTGTGTGTGTGCAGCTTTGCCTCTAAAATCAAAACCAAACACACATTTCTTCCTGCCACCCCCCGCCCCACCTCGGAGCCCGCGTACCTGGGCACACGTCCTGCAGAGTCTTTGGAAGGCGAGGGCTGGTCTTCCTCTCCAAAGGTAAATTCCAGGGGGATAAACGCTACAGAGGAATTGTCCCGGAGATAGCTGGCTGGTGGCCAATTCGTCTTGTAAAAAAGATCCCTGGTGCCCGAGGAGCCAAGATGAAGCAATTCTTTGGAATTAACCAAGCTAATTTTGACGAGCAAACATTTTGCTACAATGAAAGTTTTTATTGTAGCACATAAAAGTCAAAACAACACCCAGTCCCCTTGGGGGAGACAGGCGGGTGGGAAGGAGAGAAACAGCAGCGCACAAGCTCTAACTAATCATTGTGAAATCAAAAGTGCTCAGCACCGCCAAATTAAATGCAACTAAAAATACCCGGGGAGAGGAGCTGCTGCCGGGCAGCCCCCAGAAGCTGGGATTCTTTGGCTGCTTCAAGGATCCCACACCCCCGGCTCTATCAGCACCACCATTGTGTTCCCCGAAGGAGAAGCCCGGGGAAGGAGCTTCGCCCTCTTCTGGAACATCCCCTGGGCACGAATGCCTACATCGAATCAGAACCGAGACCACGGCGTGCCAAGAGTCACAGCTGGATGCTATTAGAGGTGCAAGGATCTCAGCAGCACCACCCACCCCCGCTAAGCAGCAAACCCACCAAGCACACGTGGCGTTCGCCTTTGCAGCAGAGATTGCATAGGGACTGGGGTCCCAGCTCGGTGGCCTCCACCTGTCACATGGCCCTCTGCAGGTCCCTTGGCTTCTCTGGGTCTTGGTTTGCACCCTCCTACCTCTAAAGGGATCACGTCGCCCTGTGGATGCCACAAAAGGTCTGTCGGCATGAAGTTACTGAAGTTCTGGACTTACTGAAGCAGGTCAAGGTGATAGGGAGACGTGATTGGTGACGCAGTTTGGGGATGGTGCTCTCAGGTCCTGGGAGTTGACAGGTGGTCCAACCAGATGGGTTCTAATGAAAAATTCTGCCTGTTAGGTGTGGTGGTACACGTCTGTAACCCCAGCACTCCGGAGGCTGAGGCAGAACAATGGCTGTGATTTCAAGGCCAGCCTGGGTTACATAGTGAGTTCAATAGCCTGAACTGCAGAGCGAGACCCTGTCTCAAGGCAAAGAAAGAAAGAAAAAAAGAAAGAAGCACTTTGTTACATTCTAGCTATGAGTGTGTGACCTCTGGCCACATTGCTTCACTTTGCTGAGCGTCAGTTGTTCCCATCCACAGAAAGCAGGGTAACTATGAGGTGTGTGTGGTGGCCCTTGAAAGAACACCTGAGAAACATGTACAGAGGGTGCCCGGCACCCCAGTCACTGCTGGACAAACTTGAGCTCTTACTGTTGTGTTATTATTTTATATCATTTTCCCTGCTACCTCCCAAATTAAAGACAGTTATCCAGTCATTTTATAGATCGGGCTCTGCGTGGTGAGGGCACTTCTTGGTGAGCCCTCAGCCAGTGCAAGCAGCGTGCCTCTGAATTTCCTTTCTGTACCTTAGATCTTGGGTGTGGGTGTAGCTCTGGGAAGATGCGGTGTCCAGGACCTTGGGACACTATACAAATCATTTCCTCTTGCTGAGCTCTGTCTAAATGAGGAAACTGGGGTCCCCAGAGGCCCCTTCTTACCGCTGCAGCCCCTCCCGGCCCTGCTGTGTGCTGCCCTCTTGGTCTCTGTCGCTTGCACACAGAGGCACACACGCACACACAGACACACACAGATAACACCTCTTGTGTCACACCTGCTTCCTATTTCCTGCAGGCTCAGACACCATACAGCTGACCTCTGAGTCCACAGTCTGTGGTTCTCAAACCTGGCTGCGTATAGAATCTTCTGGGAGCTTCTAAAAATCCCGTATGTGGAGCCAGGCATGGTGGCACATGCCAGTAAACCCAGCACTCTGGGACACTGAGGCAGGGGGGTCGCAGCTTCCAGTCCAGCCAGAGTAATTTATTGACCGTCCAAATCTAGTCTCAAAATAGAAAAGGCTGGGGATACAGCTCAGTGTGAAGCCCTGGGTTCAATCCTCAGTACTGCCCCCTCCAAATCATATTCACCAAGCCCCTCCGCAGCCTTCCCATCCCAGTCTCTGAGAGCTTTCAAAGCCCTCTAGTTGACTCTGCTGTGTAGCCAAGGTTGGGAACCAGTGGCTCCAATTCATTTCCTCAGCCAGCTAGGAAGTCTGGCACCTGCGTATCAGACACACCGCCCGGCCCATGCTGCCAGGCCCGGCCGCCTCCCTCCTGTCTAATAAACTCTTGACCCCACCCGTCCCAGACAGGAGCAGGGTAGATCTACAGCTTCTGCCTCTACACCGGGGAAGGCTGTTTCCCAGGCCCTCGGAGAAAACTACCAGGAGTCCCCACTGCTCACCAAAAGGCAGAGCCCCAGGCCCAGCCAGTCCCGTCCCGGCCCGTCCTGGCTGAGTCGTCTCTCAGGGCTGTTCTCAGGGCCTCCCAGGGTCTACACGGTGGGCGTGGCTGGAGTGAGGAGACAAACAGGTCTTCTGCAATCCTTCCTCTCCAGATTCTCCAGAGAAGCACACAGGCTGTTGGGGATGCGTCATTGCCAAGATGGATGCCTCCTTGGAGCTGGTGGGGAGAAGGCGGAGAAGGGAGACTCTGAGGAGATGGAGGTGCTGGGGTCGGGCTATGGCTCGGGAAGGCTGTCCCCGATCTGCGATCTGCACCATGCCAGTGGCCTGTGCGTGGGTAGAGGGTTCCCAGGCAGCCTCCCAGCCCAGGGTGGGTTCAGCGGAAGCCCCGAGCCCTCTGGGAGCTGTGTCCCGTGATTCTGGGAGCCAAGCCTGCCTGCTGCTCCAGTGTCCCGGCTGCCTGGCCGGGGTGGAACATCTGAAGCCACTTGTTCCTGATGACACAGGTTCAGAGGAAGATAAAGATCAAAGCAGGGAGGTCAGAAAAGCCAAGGCCAGAGTCCCCCTCCCACCCCATTAAAGCCAGAGAAGCTGCAGCCCGTGGCTGAAGTCTCCATCAGAACTGCCCAGGGCGCAGAGATCTCTGGAGCTGGGATCCGGCATCGGTCAGCTACGCGGTGATACCAGGGTGGGCCACGGACAGACACAGACAGCAGGGCAGGGGCTCGAAGAGAGGGAGGGAGAGGTACACGTGGAGAAAGCAGGACAGACCCAGCAAAGCAGAGAAGGAGGGAGGGAGAGAGACAGACTCTGAGAAACAGAAAGTGGGTGGGGGAGAGAAAGAGAGAATCAAAACTGAGGAACAGAGAAAGAAAACCCCCCAAGTCAGAAAGTCCTCACCCAGATACAAGGAGAAGCAGTGAGGCCTAAAAATGTCAGTGGGAAGATGCATATGAGAGAGAGAGAGAGAGAGAGAGAGAGAGAGGCGGGACCCAGGCTGGCACTGGTGGCCCCAGTGTGCGGTGATACTTGTGTCTCAGCCGCCTCCTTCCCCCGTCACTGGCTGCAAGGCAGAGGCTGTGGGGCGGCAGCTGGGAGGCTGCCCCCGCTACGGGCCACAGGACAGGCCAGTTGCAGGTCCTTGGGGCCCTGCTGGCCTCCTACCAGCCTGTGTCTTCCCTTCGCTCTCCTGCGCCCCAGGCCCGCAAAGCCCAGCCCAAGGCTCTCCCAGGCTCCTTGCTCACAGCCACACCGACTCTGAGCTGTAAATGCCACGCGCACACCCCTCCCGCCAAGTAGACTGAAATCCTCTGTGTCCTCTCCTTCCCCAGTCTCCGAGAAGGCCTGGAAGGCGCCTCGATTTGTACGGAGCACCTCCCTGGTTCTGCCCGCCCACGGGGCCTGGGACAGCATGGTGCCACTGGGAGGGCAAGGAGACCCGGAGCTTGCCCTGGCCACAGGCCACCGGCTCCTCCTCCTCGGCACCGCTCAGGCCCACAGCTGCCACCCATGTGGGGGACGGGACAGTTCGGGCTGTGAACCTGTCCCCAGGCCTAGCCTGCCACTAACCCTGCACCTGCCCTCTCACTTCTGCTTCTCACAGCAGCACCTGATCCCCATTCTGTCCCCTTCGCTGGCCACACCCACTTCCTTCCCCCAGGGCCCCTGTTGGGCTGGTCATACTGGGCCACTTAACCTACAAGGGAGGGGAAAGCAAGGAGCGTGGCAGAGCCACACGTCACCCCACAGTCACGGCACTGTCCCCACCGTCTGGGGCCTGGAGCCCCAAGCCCAGCACAGGAGTAGCGGCCCAAGCAGAAGCAGTCTCCCCCTAGTGTCACCTGGCACTCGGGGACCATGCCGGCGATGGCAGTGATGATAAATACACTTCACTGGGCAAGGTACTGAGGTCCACAGCCAGTGCCACACCAGCAGGGGCCACGGGGGCTCAGACACCTGCTCAAGGTCACACGGCTGGGGAGTGCCGAGGGACAGACTGAGACGCGGAGTCTGAGTGCTTGAGGACTCACTGGGCAGAGTCCTTCCTTGTGTGACCTCGACTGAGTGAGTCGCACTTCTCCGAACCTCAGGGCCCCAGGTGTAAAAAAAAGACTTGGACTCAGCAGATTTGTCCATCTTCTTTCCTTTTTCTCTGCTGATGTCATTTCCTGGTTCTAAGAGCACGACCCCGCCCCATCCTGAGGGTTAAGAATCAAGCCATGACGGGAAGTCGTGGTGGTGCTTCCCTGTCATCCCAGCACTCGGGAGGCTGAGGCAGGAGGATCGCCATGAGTTTGAAGCCAGCCTGGACTACATGGTGAATTCAGGGCTGGCCTGAACTACAAAGAGAGACCCTGTCTCAAAACAAACAAAAAAAGAATCAAGCCGTATTTGGAGGCAGGACCCTTTCCTTCAGAGATCTTCCAGCCCAGCTGGGGCGAGATAAAGTCCATTTCATGTCCAGAGGAGGGTAGGGTTGGGGCCCTGGGAAGGTGGCATTGGGCTGTGTGCATGATCAGGAGAGCAGGGAGGGCCCCCAGGAGTGTGGCCGGCTGAGGAAGGAGGGGTTTGGCAGCCTGCGGAGGACGCTGGCCAGCAGGAGGACAGGAGGCAGTGACTTTCCAGAAATGTCCCTTCCTCAGCCCCCTCTTGCAAGCCAATGTCTTTAATTTATGAAGGGACAGATTTTAAATCATCCTCCCGCTCTGTCTACCCACCCTCCGTCCTCCACTGCCTATATTTCTCCTGACCATAAATTTTTTATTAATGACAGTTTAGAAAATGAGCAAATCTTTGGTGACACTTTTATCACCTGCAGAATACTTTTAATAAGAGGTTTCAGGAGATTGCATTCTGGGGCTGGAGAGGCAGGAGCAGCCCCAGCCACGCAGGCGGAAGGGCTGTCGCTGTCCCACCCCTGCCATCTCAGTGCCACTGTCTCTGCCCCACCAGGCAGAGGACCCCGCCCCAGGCCCCAGCTTCCGGTGCCACCCGCAGCCTGGCAGCCTACTCAGCGGGTGGTGCATCCCTCCCCGCCCCGCCCCATCTCTCCTCTGTGAAATCTTGCCTCCGTGCAAGACATAATTGGTGCAGACCTATTAATAATGCCTAAAAGTAATTAGCTGTTGACATCAGTGCCACACCTAGTTACTCAGGCTGGCAAATCAGGCCCAGAACCTCCCTCGGCCTGAAGACAGAGCCAGCTCTGAAGGACTGCAACGCCGGGGGCAGTGCCCATGGGTAGTGTGGGAGCTGGGCTGCTGGGTGCTCCCGGGGCCCTGAAACATGACATCATCTTTGAGAGTTCTCAGTGGCACTGGGGACAGGAGACAAATGCTCTGGGTGACAGAAAGAGGGCCTCAGAGGGGCAAGGGCCTTTGAGAGCAGAGGGAGCAGGAAGGGCAACAGGGCACTGGGAGGCCTGGGAACGGGAACAGGGCACTGAGAAGGGAAGGCACAGGAGTCAGCGCTGGGGGCAGTGCAGGTGAGGTGAACAGTGCAGGGGGTGGTGACTGCACAGAAAGTAACCCCAAAAGTGTGAGTCGGTCCTTGGGTGACCTGTACTGTGACTCTGTCCGTTTTAAAAGCTGCAGGGGAAGAAATAAGTTTTTTCTCGAAGAAACGCATTGTGGCTGGATGTGGTAGCGCACTCCTACAATCCTGGCATGCAGGAGG